TCCAACCTGGTTGATTCTATGATGCAAACAGGGCCACAACCATTTTTCTTTCAGTTTTTCTTCACCATAGGCAGGAGTGGGACCAACACAGCTGTGTTGTATCTGGAGATAAGGATCTAGAGATTTGGCATTACTAACTCAAGGCTGGTCCCAGTGCCTCAGAACTCAGTAAGAGCTCTGTGTACACCAGAAATAACTCACACTGAGCCTAGATTGCCAATTTTCAGAGTCAGATGTAACTGCTTCTGAAAATTCCCACATACAAAGATCCTTTTAGGCTCCTGCTCAGCCTGGCAGTGCACTGGCCTGTTCAGAGCAGGATACATATTTTCCTCACTCTTGTTTGAGTGGGAACGTTTGGCTCTTGGTCCCTATGGTGTGTTTGTGACTTTTCTTAGGTTCAAGGCCACTGTAAAGTGGGAAGTAGCACAGTGGATTGTTAGCACAGGGGAAACCTAGAACTAGGGTTCAAAGAGAGAGGCATAAAGAATTAAAAATGCATATTTAATGTTTTATTTTATAATTTAGAGTATAAAAAATGGTAAATTACCATCTCAGTGCTTTTGAGAAAGAATTACCAAACAGAGCAAAACTGCTTTGAGCTGTAGAACCTGCTGACAAATTTTTACCACAGTGACCAAACAAACTCCAGAATCCTCTCTGGATGGTATAGCAGTGTCACAGAAACAATCCTCAGTGTTCTGATATTCCTCTGACAGGAGTTTCCACCCTGAACAAACCAGACTGAGAACAGATTACAAACCCTGGAGTTGTTTTAAAAAGGATTTTTCTGCTGTGTTTAAACTGCTTTTGGACTGTTGTGCTGTGTTAGTGACTAGGCTGTTATTTTCTGGAGTGCTCATCAACTTTAAACTCGTGAGTGCATCCTACTAGTTGGTGTTAATTCCTGAGCCAAGGCAATTAAGGCACAAAATAATTTTAACTTACATTTTCTTGTGGTGTTTTGGTGGGGATTTTTAAACAGAAAAAGGTCAGGACTAAAGTTCACACCAAGAGCCTTTTCTGTTTTTATAGCTAAAATTTGCCATCCCAAACTGTTTTAGTTCCCCATGGAAATCTGAAGTATAACCTTTTATTTCCATGGAAAACAAGCACAGTTGCTGCTGTCTCTCACCTCAGGGAATCAGCCAGGGACCTGCAGCTTTTCTCTTGTGCTGAAATTATATTCTTTCATTAAAATCTTCCTAGTAAGTTGAGGTAGTACTGGTTTTACCAACAGTGTTACTTGAGCCAGGCAAGAAGTAGCCACCTCTGTCAAGCTTCTCCCCCAAGCCACAGCAAAGGTGTGAGCACAGATACCTGCAGAAACAACTCAGTAGCCAAGGATTACTGTTCTGTCCAAAGAAATGCAAAGGTATCATTCTTTGCTGACTTGATTCAAAACAGCCTGTGAGTTGTTAACAGCATCAGCTTCAATGCTGTGAGGAAGCTGCTCAGGGCATCACCAAGTACTGGCTAATTAACTCCTAGGCTGAATGGGTGTCCTACAGCTGCTTCTCATGCACATGAACAGTTTTAAGCCTCAAATCGTTATGGAAAGCATTAAGGTTGAGTTGAGGCACGTGGACAAAATGAAATTTGCTTTTGACTTTCCAAATATTTACTCAAATTTCTATTATATGCCCAACTCTACTGACAAAAGGCACTGCAGCTCTCCCAGACAGAACTAGGCTGAAGAAAGGCCATGGGAATTATATTGATCCTGGCTGGTTTTGTCTGTAATAGCTGCTGTTCCCTAGCAGCAAAAGGAGAGGGAAACCCTGGGGAGAAGTGAACATGGATGCTCACACTACTCCTGCATTTCTTCAGGTGTGGATGCAGTTAACAATAGGAAGTAAACGTAGAGAAATACTTTGCTCAGTCCAGAAATCAGTTCTGCTGCCCTTGGCCTTCCCAGAACCAGTGTCTCACCTTTAACAGTGCTATTGGTGTATAAAAAGTAACCCTGACTGCCCTTGAGGTGTCCTTTGCAGGGTGACCAGCTTGTGGAGCAGGTTGCATAGTCCATGATGGATTAAAGTTCAGTGCAAAGAAACAGCAGCAAAGCTCTACCAGCTGCAGGTGTGTTGGCTCCCTACCAGGGGTAGGTACTGCTGCCACTAGACAGGTTCACTCTTCCTGTGAAAGTAGATTTTCTCCCATGCAGTGAGGTGACGTGAACAGAAGAATCTCCAGAGGTTGAGGATTATCCCTTGGTCAAAGGGATTCTCCAGCTCGGAGTGGCGCAGGTAGGAGATGCGATGGCTTGACATGAACTCCCAGGTGGTTGTGTTGCATGAGATCAGGTACAGGTGGGAAACAAGCAGCAGCAGGACCACAATGGTGAATATGACCATCAGGAAGAAGGACATGAGGAGGAAAATATTGTGCTGCAGCCATTCCCAGGACTGTTCAAAGTAGAGGCCTGACCTTTCAATTCAAACAGAAACACATTTGTGGTTAAGGAAGCAGAACTGGTTCCATAAGGCAAGCAAACCTGGTGGTTTGATTCATAACTACTGAGCTGCTGATAATCATCTGCAACGGAGCATAAATATACTAAAAAGTCCTGAGAGACTGCACCAGTAGGGACTGGAATCTAAGAAGTTTAGAAGATTGTTCCTCTGACACAGAGAGACAATCACCTTGGGTTAACTCCTCTCCTGAACAGCTGCAACCCTGCTGGAGCTTCCAGCACTTGGCTTTGTAAACAAAGATCAAGTTACAGCAACTGAAGCAAAATGAACCATGAAACTAAATGATCAGATTCTGCTCAAGATTAGGGACTCCAAGATGCAAAAGAAGGTGAAGATCCAAAGCCAACCCAGTCACTGCAATGTTCTACATCAACCCTTGAGTGGGCCTCGAGGAGCACCATGACTCAGCAAACTCAGAGGTCCAAATGCTGCCTCCAGGCCTTACCAAGCAACGTGGGTTCCCCACAGCAGAACCACAAGCTGCACACTGAGGTAGACCATGAAGAGGGGGTGGTTCTTCTCTCCTACACAGTTCTCAATCCAGGGGCAGTGGTGGTCGTAGCGCCGGACGCAGTGCTGGCACAGCTGGCAGTGCTTGGCTCGCAGTGGCTGCTGCAGAACAGAAACAAACAGTCATAAGAGGAAAAAAGTAACTAGCAATAGTCCATGGCTGTCCAACTTCCTGGCTGGGAGAAGAACATCATGCAAATCTGTCCTCCTCCACAGCAGTGCTGTCCCTGAAGGACAACAACGGCACATCAACACCACCGAGACAACTCAAGGGGATTGTGATTCCCCTGGTACAGCCCAAATGGGTAAGGTTCAAATTAGATGATTCTCCCAGACTACTTCTACCTACACATCTTCTTTATTATCTGCCTATTTATAGGAAGTTCAGTGTGCCAAGGAGGGAGACAGAGCCAATTAGCCTATCCAGGAAAGCATGAACGGAGGACTGAGGTGAAAAATCAGGATCACTGCTATTGAATAGAGTGGGCAGGGATGGGATGGTTTTCAGGGATACACAGAGGAGAGAAGTGTCTCTGCTTCTGTGTGAGTACAAGATACTTGCACAGGAAAATGGCTCAAGTACCAGAAACAGAAGATGAAGGATCTGAGTGAGAAAAGTAGTGCTCCCTAGGATTTGTGCCCTGAAGCACTGAAATGCTTTGCCAGCTTTTCCTCTTGCAGTAAGCTCACTTGTCCTGGTAGATATTCTTCAGGAATTTATGGAAGCTGGGACAATGCTTAATTTCATTAAACTGATAAGGATCACTCTGAAAACAGGCCTTCCTAGGCTTTAGGCAAACTGTTTTAGAGCTAATTTAATTGCTCTAATTTCTCCTTCATGCTATCTCTTACCACCCAGGCCAATGTTCTGTTGTTTTAAGGCCTCCAAACCAGCTCACAATGATGAGCAGTTCCCATGTCATGCTCAGCTGCCTTTCTGACTATCAGGGTATCTTCAAAGTAACCTTTTTGACAATACTGTAAGGCCTAGCTGACATGGCAGTGAAAATGTAGAACACAAATTTTCCACGGCAGAAGAAGATTCTTGTTTCTATAAGCCAGAGGGGACTTGTTTCAGCCTTGGAAAACCAGCTTAGGTGCCAAAATCTGCCAGGCCTCCTCTGAGCAGCAATGACAGGGCAGAAAAACACCAGCAACAGCAGCTAAACAAAGATGTTGCCAAAAGATGTAAGATGCAGATCAGATCACTCATCCCATTCTCTTCCAGTGTGTTCTGGATGCTCACCTTGACCAAGCAGTAGCCACAGCGTCGCAACTTAATGTCACCAGGGACCTGGGGGAGCACCAGGCTCTGTCCTTCACCCTCCCCTGCCTGCAAGAAAGAGGAGGAGAGTGATGAGCAGGGTTTGTGTGCTGCTGCCTCAGCATGGCTGAGCTGTCTCACTGTGCCCTTCTAACAGTTACACAGTGCTGGTTATCTCTGCCACGAGGAAGGTTAAACCAACTGATTCCTCAGGAGATGCAGATAGTTATGGCACAGAGACTAGAGGCTTCTGTAACCATTCAAAGAACCTTTACACAGAGGCAGAAATAATTGTGGACAAGATCCCAATGCTACCCTTTGGGACAAGAATAAACAAGGTTAGTCTTTACTTCCAAACACAGTAATAATGTTTTTCAGTATAAGCAGTGGTAGTTATTTAAACACAGCCACCACTGACATTAATGATGGATGACTAAGACTGATAATGCTTTTAGCCTACACAGTCTGGAAGGCACTGAACCTTGAGTAGACTCTCAGTTACTGAACCTCTGCATCTCCACTTACCTCCCTGTAACTTGTTTGTGTATTTGTCCTCTGAGAGGGCAACAAATCCATAAACATCTCAATAAAAGAGCTGCACAGAGCACTGCCTGCCAAACCTGCCCTTCAATTTGGGGGCTTTTGGCACTTGTACCACTTAGCAGTGGTTAAAATAGGTCACATACACATTCCATAAGGCACTGCAGCCACAGATGCAGGAGAGAGGACTTAGGCTCAAAGGGCACAGTCACTTGCTGGGGCAGTGTGGTGTGAAAGGCACATTCCAAGCTGTGAACCCTGTTGCTTTTGGTCCAGAGTATCAATGTGAGCCAGCCTGGTTTATCTCCAGTGGTCTGTGCCTGTTTCCCCGTGCCAGCACAACAGTGTCACACTGTTACTGTCTGGCAGAGTGGGACAGAGAAGAAAAGCTTTATAACCTCCCCACTTCACTCACGAACGGCTTTACCTTCGCTTCCTCCTCAGGCTGAACAAAACCCGGATCCATCAGGGACACCCTGAAGTGCAGCAGGACGGAGCACAGCACCAGCGAAACGAAGAGCAGCGGCTGCAGCAGCTCCCCGCGCTCCTCCTGCCGCCGCAGGTCTGAAAGGTACCCGAGACAGACTGAGCAGCAGCTCCCGGGGAGGCTCCGCCGCCGCCTCAGCCAAGGGACCGCGCACCCGGAGGGAGAGAAACCCCCCGGGCAGGGGGTGGAAGGGGCTCCCCGGGGCCGAGCGCTGTCCCCGGGCCCGCACACCCCGCGGGGCACCGAGGCCGGGTCTGTCTCACCTGTGCGCTGCAGGAGCA